TGTAACGTTAATAAAGCAATTATTAATTAAACCCTGCAATACAATTTCTACGCAACAACTTCATAAAAACAAGTACAAAATTAGATTTTTGACCAACAAAATTCAATAAATTATGAACAATTCCCCCAGCATGGGTTTTGCATAACAGTACATATTGGGGAAGTTAAGCAATTAAAACAGTTCATTGACAGTGTTATACAAAGCGTGAAGCACAGAAATCTCAGCGAAGAGAAGACTTCATTTGTGCTGAATTTGGGAACTTAGTCCAAAGGGGAATTTCAAAACAGGAAAACAAACTGTTGTTAAGATGCTTAGTCAACAGGAACTATCAGTGGTAGTTACTGTTGAACAGCTGGAATAAAGTTGATTTACTGATGAAGGAAGTGAAATTTAGTTGAGTGAGAGTCATTAGCTCTCCATAGTCGTAGATAGCATACAACAGAGTGATTGGGAACAGAACACCTCGTAATCTGAATGCTAAAATCGGGACTTCAGTGCAAGTAGCTACGTAGTGCTGAGAAGAAGGTAGTTTTATTTTTTATTCTTTTTGTGTTTAACTAGTTCAGTGCTTCTGTTTTACCTCTAAGATAGGAGACCGTAAATTGCTATTACTTTACTATATTAGTAACTGTTAATCAATAAATAAGATTAGAGACACGCCAGGCACATTTCTGGAGAGCATTGTGATTAGCAGCTCGAGCAATTTTGGTTCAGCAATATTCAACTGGAGTCTGAGTTTGACGCATTGCAGGATATCAGTGCGGGGGAGAGTCACCTAGACAATGTTCCAGGAAGCAGTCACACCCTTGGATCAGGAAAGGTTTTGTAGTCCTCAATAAGAGGGTATGGCAGCAAGTCAGGCATGTATGACGATCAAGGATGTAGTGATGGAGAACCTTGGCCTGATCATGAGGTACATGATACTACCTGCATGGATCAGAACAGAAACTGTATAATGGAAGAGCAAATCAAGATTTTTCAATTCTCAAGAAATCAAGTGGTGTGGAGAGTATACAAGAAAGGGGAGTTGAGGCAGAAGAGCAGCCATGGTAACACTGGAAATGGCACTGTAAAGCATATAGTCTACCGCTATGTGACACCTCAGAAAGTAAATGTATTAAAATTCCCCTTTGTCCTGCCCCATATGCCCTTTAATATTGCACAAAACTCAGGAGAATTAAATATAAAGGTTGCCCATTTTTCAACCAGCATTTATTCAAGGGTACTTATTTCTTTACTGTCTGCAATGGTGATATCAAAGTTAATAACGGATACATATCAGCCCCAATAATGGGCATACAGAACCCTACCAGTGAAACTACCCGGGCCATAAAACAATAAACAGGGAGTAAGACCTGAAACCTAGTGCATCAGTTGCATCCTTGCACATGTTACATCTTGTATGCTACTCAGTAACATTCATGTGCTACTACAACTGTATGTAAACTTATCACACAATAACTTGCTTTCCCTCTTTTAATGGGGTTTGGCACCTCCATTTTGCATTATTCAATTTCTCAATCTGTACTACAGCATTCATAACAAGAGTAAACACTCAATAAATAGAAATAGGAGTAAACCATATGGGCTGGACCACAATTCAGTAATATCATAGCTGATCTTCTGTTTCGACATCACTTTCTTGTATACTCTTCATGCACCTAGCTTCGATCTGAACAAAAAACTGTCAGTATTGGCCTTAAAACAGACTCAAAATGGTGCCCCCACAGCACTCTGGGCTGGACAATTCCAATGATTCAGAAGCCAAAATTTCCCCTCATCTCAATACTGCAGAAAAATTCATATGCTACAATCTAGTCTACATCCAAGGACAGAATGGATGATTTTGAAATGGGATCAGAATAGTATTTGTAGATCTTGATACAAATATCCCATATTCTCTAGCCTCCTTTTGCACATTGTCACTGCTATTCCACACCTGACCCCATTATTTTTATGTCTTATTTCCCATCCAGATAGTCCTGCAGCACGATTGCTCATTGGTTAGCACTGCTGCCTCACAGCACCAGGAACCCAGCTTCAATTTCAGCCCTGGATCACTGACGGTGGAGTTTGCACATTCTTCCCACATATGTGTGGGTTTCCGCCGGCTGCTCCAGTTTCCTCCCACAGTCTGAAGATGTTGATCATCCTCAAGTTGAATGCATCTCTACTTGCTAGGCCATCTGCCCTCAGGCCTTCTCAAACTTATTTCACGCCATCCAGAAAACTCACCAACCATGAGTGACCTGACTGATGCTATATTTGAAGGTCTAAAATTAGCAGGCATGAAAACAGCAGCTTATCCAACAAGCTCACTGACCAACTCGTTGTCTTAACCAGCATGCTAAAAGGCATTGGAAATGTTCCCACTTCTCATGTTCTAATATATCCCTTTGAAAGCTGTTTTCATTGATCTGTGGATAAAAGGCTGACTATCAATCAGGAGGAAATTACTGCAGATGCTGGAATTTGAACTGTAAACAAAAAAAAAATACTGGATATCACAGCAGGTCAGGTAGCATCCATGGAGAGAAAGCAAGCTAACGTTTTGAGTCTAGATAACTCTTTCTCAGAGCTCTGATGAAGAGTTATCTAGATTCGAAATGTTAGCTTGCTTTCTCTCCACGGATGCTGCCTGACCTGCTTTGATCTCCAGCATTTTTTGTTTTCAGTTCAGAGTCAACCATTCTGACCTTGCAAACTTCTATTACGTTTTCATACTCGCTTTGCTCTCCCAAGTCCTTGCACATGTGTGAGCACTTTCCAAATTCAACATCATTCTTTCAACTCAATTTGAACGGCTACTGCTGGCACAGCACTAATATAGTGAGAAGAAAATGCATGTAAAACATCTGCTAAAATGCAGTGACCTTCATTACCTTTACAGCTTTTTTTACAGGTAACAACACCTCATCTGATGCTTTACACATTATTGTGTTCAGGGGCCAGCCCTTGGTTGGTTACACATCTACTTATATGATTGTAGCTAAGCATCTCCAGCAATGGTTACACTTAGGGAAGACAGCAAAATCCATGCTCTAGTTACCTCTTCTTCCTCTAACACTCTGCCACTCCTTCTGAGGATGATCTGAAAAGATGAAGTCAACATCCATATGTTCACTACAGACAATCAGTTCTGCCTCTAAAACAAAGTTTGGATTCTGTAATGAATCTACAGTCTATTTTTCTGATTTAATTTATACCTTTTTCACCTCCAGACCCTTCATATATCAACAGTCTCCTAGCCAGACTTGCACACTCCATTATAGTTTAAAATCATTCTGAACCCTCTTCTCCATACCCTAACTTGGAATATATTCCATTCACTCATCACTCCATGCTCAGTAACTACATTGCAGTTTGACCATTTTTTTTTAAAAAAAGGATTTTCATTCTAGTTTTAAAATTGCTCCACTGTTTGGTATCTTCCTCTTCAACCTACTGAGATCGCAGCATATCTCCAGTCCTGGGCTTTTGCACATCCATGATTTCAAGAACTCTTGTTAACCCAAGCTCTGGAATTCCATTATTAAACCTCTAAACTTCTATAACACTCCATCAAATCCATCTCTGTAACAAAGAGTTTGGTCTCCTGACCCAAGACCTCCTACTACATTTTAGCGTCAAATTTTGTTTGACAATGCTGTGAAGCTCCTTATGGCATTTTTAATAGCTTTAGGGGTGCTCTATAAATATAAATATTTCTTGTACATTGGTTCCTGAACACCCGTCCATCAACTAAAAATTCTCATTTTTATATTTCCATCTCATCAAACTCAGTAACTTCCTCAAAATCTACCAGGCTCACAATCCCAAACACAGCTCCTCTATCTCCCTTAGCTTGTCCGGCCCAAGGTATTCATTCTTCAGCTATTTTTACCCTGTTCGTTCTTTCCCAATCCCGCTCTTCTAACTGACCTCCCCATCTGCAGCCTCCATTTCACTGCCCGTCATAAGCAACCACACATAACAAGGATTCAAGAGAGGGAAGTGGCGAGTGGAAGGGAGAGGTCAGTCAGAAGTGTGGGGTTAGGAAAAGCATTCCTGGATTTATTAAAGTCTGATACTCCAATGTACTTTAATTAATATAGCTAAAGTTGAATTTTTAATCCATAAGAATCAGAACTTTTGTTAAGTGTCCAGTCTTCCTTCTATGAATAACGACTTTAACATCATTGAACGCAGCTTAAAAAAAAATTGCACATTTCCAATTTTTACTGAACAATTTTTGGTTTGAAGAAAGTTTTTTAAAAAATGCGTCAGCAAATGGCTGTTCACCTCAGAAAATGAGTGCAATTTGAGTCTTCCTAAACCAGCACATTCGTGAATCACAACACTTTGCAGTAATTAACATGAATATCCTAAAGATGATTCATTGCCAAAAATTAAAAGAAAGAAAAAAGAATTGCCACAAGCAAGTGTCAAAAGACAAGAGTAAAGTGCATAAATAAAAGTGGATGTTACACTCAATGCACATTGAACCTTGGTTGCAACACATTAGTGCACTACGTATAGTTACCAAAAAATGTTTATACTTTATAATTTTTATGTTTTCTCTGCTAAGATAAGTTAAGTTTTTGAAGAAATTGACTTGCAAGTATTTTTCAATTTTGGTTTTCTAGTGAATACCACTGTTTGGCACCAAGCTCTGCAATTCTCACTTTAACCTCTCATGAGTCTCCACTTCCTTCTTCACCTTTAAGAGGATATTCCATAAATCCCAGGTTTCTGGTCACTCTATCTGTAGGGATTTCTGCAACTCTGTTTATTTATCTGATTACATCTGTGTTGGCTTTGGGAATTCTTCCATATTAAAAGGTGCTACATAAATAAATAGCAGAGGACTGTCCCAAGTGGGTTTAATATACTTTTTGGCAAATTGGATTTAGTCAAGTCATACCCTACATTCCTTCAAATAGCTTTCAAAATTTTCAAACTAAAAATACCATAGGATTTTATAACTGATACTTGACAATCAGAAATTCTTATTCACTTACACTGCCATACCACTCTGGAATTCCTCTGTTGCCTGACAATAGATGGTTATTGCAACACGCGCATCAGCATCAAAGGTAAACTCCACACTGTAGAGCACTTTTGGCTTTGCATTCTCGTCCGTCAGACTGTCAGCTTCATCTTTGTACCTGTAAGGGAGTAAATATAAATAGACACAGACATACGCCATCAGCTATTAACATTACTTATGTAATTGCACAGGAGCAGACGTTAGCTGACAATTTACATACCCTGTGCCAACCTCAAAACAAGACTTTTTTTTTTAAAAATTAAAGGTCAACACTTTTGCTTGGACAGAAAATATTATGTAGTTGGGCTCATATGCCCTCTACCCACCCCCACAAACCTGTAACATGACAGCGTAAGCATTCTCATCTACAATTCAAGTGCACTGTAGATGTCATAAGTTTAAAAAAAGCGACCTCAATTTATTCTGGCACACCAATGATAGATGATGCTCACAACTCTGATAACCTCTACATAAAATCACTTGGTCAAAACATTTTAGTCAAAGTTATACACATTTCTCAACCATTCCCCCTGGTCCTACAATTGACTGACAGAATTCCTGAAACTACTCATCATTAAACCAGAATTTGAGCAGTCCATATAGGTGGTCAAAAACAATCAAATGACATTAAATTAATAAAAAAGTGTTCTCCCCACTTGATGTTCTATATTCCCCTCTCATTCAACACGAGACACCTTACTTCTACTGTTCAATGAAATATGAACAGAATGTGTACTCCAGGAAAGTAAATGAATGCCATTTTGCAATCACAAAGTATATGCTTAATATTTATGAAGAATGAGTCATTCTGCAAATGTTATTTCATATCTGCACAGCCCTACCTGTTGTTAATAAAATGGCTCATTATTTTATGAAGGTTAATGATAGAGCTGTATCAGGGAACTGGCATAAGTTTAATTAGTCACTTGAATTTTGTTGAAAAAAAAAGCTCTTGAAGCTTTCAGATCTGCACTCATCAAGACAGAATCACACAAGAATATTAATTTACCGGGCAGGAGGCTTATTTGGTATGAGGAGGGAAGATAAACTACTTCAGGAAATAGGGTCAGGATTAATGGATTTTTTCCAGTTGGAAAGATGCAATTAATGGAGTGCCACAAGAATTAGTCCTAAGGTTTCAATTATTTACCATCTATATTAATAACTTGGGAGAGGGGTTAGAGTGTAATGCATCGAAATTTGCTTGAAGTAACTCCACAGAGGGAGTATCCTGTCACCAAGTCACCCTTTATTTAAACACGGAAAGTCCCTGACATTGGTCCAACTCCCAGAGTGTCAGAAATCTGACACCCCTGTTTTTAACTGTCAACAAGGGCTCCCTGATCGGAGCAGGTTAACTGCACCAGTCACAGAAATCATAGAATATGATGTTCACCTGGCTGACAATCTCATTACAATTACTACAGTTGATAATTCAAAAATAGCCAGGTGGGCATGTTGTGATGATGGCATAAGGAATCTGAAAGGACATATAGGTGGGTTGAGTGAATGGACGAAAACTTGGTAGATGGAGTGTAATGAAGGAAAGTGTGAGGTCATGCACTTTAGTAGAATCAAAAGGCAGACTATTATTACAATGAAAAAAAAAAATTTACAGCACAAATGGGTCTGGATGTTATTATGAATGCAGCACAAAAAATTATCATGCAGGTGAAGCAAGTAATTAAGGCAAATAGAATCTTAGGCTTAAATGCTGGGAGGGGAGATATTTAAAAACAACGAAGTCTTACTGTACAGATTATTGATGACTGCACCTAGAATATTGTCTAAAGTTTTGGTTTCCATGTTGAAGAAAGGATACATCAGTATTTGAGTCGATTCAAAAGACATTTACCACGTTGGTTCCTGGGGTGGACAGGTTGACTTTATAAACAGATAACCAGGTTCAGCTTTATTTATTTGAGTTTAGAAGAATGAGGGATGATCTTATTAAAACAGACAGGATTCTAAAAGGGCTTGACAGAGGTTGAGAAGATGCTTCCACTAGTGGAGGAATCTCAAACTAGGGGACACTCAAAGAGATGCAAGGGCATTTCTTCTCCCAGAGGGTACTGAGTTTCTGATACATTTGACCTCAGTGCTCTGAAGGCTAAATGTATCAATGGAGGTTCCTTTTTTGAAATATGGAGGAGCTGAGGGCTATTAGAAGCTGCCACAAAAGAAGAGTAAGGGGGTCACTGTTACAGACTGGCGAGCCAGGCTTGAGAAGTCAAACGGCCTCCTCCTGTTCCTATTTCTTATGAGCGGTTTGTCTTATGAGGGAATGTTGAACAGGGTGGATTTGTTTTCTACTGGATACAGAAGAGTGAGGGGTAATTTGAGTGCAATATATAAGATCCTGAATGGTCTTAACAAGGCGAACAAGAAAAGGATGTTGCCTTCTCTGGGTCAGTTCAGAACTAGGGGGTACTCTTTTAAAATTAAAAAGCAGAGATGAAGTGACTCAGATTTTTTTTTTTTTCTCTCAGAGTGTAATGCAACTTTGGAACACTGCCTCAGAATTCAGCGGAAGTAGGGTCATTGAATATTATTAAGGCAGATGTAGATGGATGTATATTCGACAACGGGACTGAAGCAGTGAATTATCTACTTCTACTTCTAGTTTGTATCTTCTCAAGTGTCTGAGCTCAAGGGCCTACACACATTCCTTCGATTAGCAACTTTGAATTTGCTCCACGGTCAGAGAAAGGAGGGTGTGACAAGTGAAGCAGTTTTGGGGATTCAGAAAGTTGCAGTGAAAGAGCTTCAACCCTTGTAATTATCCAACAGTTCAATGTTTTCGCAGTTTGTGCCAACGGGAGCACAGTACTGTAGAAAGGACGAGCTAACTGGCCATATGACACAACGTCATACAGGCCAACATCATTTTGTTGCCGCTTGTTATGTTCAGCAAGACAGGTCACAGGATCACACGTGTATGTATGTGTTTGTCTGTCTGTCTATCTCTGGAAAAAATTAATCACCAGTATCTAAATATTAATTGTTGAAAGCTTTTAAAGAACAGTGCAAAGAGCCAATAAGACTGTTCAAGGTGGTTGGTTTTTCTGAATTACTGGCAGCTGTGATGTGGGATAGATAAGCAGTTATACTTTTGGCTACAATTTGTCAACATGTCTCCAAGAAAATGTCTGTCCTTGTTTTACCAACAACGGTGCCTTCATATTCAGGCAAAGTTCAGTAGCACTTTCAATTTTGGGTGCTGGAAATAACCACAAGTCCACAAATGGACTGCTTGAGCAGCTTCTGAATACTGACTTTACCCTAATGTGGAATTCCTGGCAGTTTAATTCGTTGTATTCAGATAGCAGTTTGCAACTCAGTGCGCCCATTTTTCACTGAAGGATAAAATATTTAATAATGAATTCTCAGACATTCTGTTCAGTCCTTTTAAGATGATGATTTGCATAATTCTACAGGTATAAATGTTATCACAGCTTTAGGTATTGATTTAACTACCTTACACGATTTAAATTTTAAATACCAAGGAAACCATTGCAATAACAGACGCAATGATTTGGCTTTCACAAATCACAATAAATCAAAATGATGTCAAAAAAAAAAGGGAGGCAAAAAGCAAACCTTTTGCTTGGAACTAGCAGTTTGTGGAAAAATGTGTCCCTCAGACCCTATAAAGATAGCTCAACAGGAAGGTATAGAGGTAACATGCATCTTAAATCTGGGTTAAGATGATGAATTAGAACACTAACATATGGAGTTTGAAGGACAATTAAAGGATTTAGGGATTAGCCTCCCAAAATCCCAATTTACTTGGGAGAAAGGAACTCTTCTGATCTAGCCATTTTCCAACCTTGTGATTCAAACTTTAAATACATTTTCTTTTCCTTCTGAATTCCCAAATCCCTCCCTACACCAGTCTTAATAAAATTTCTCCTGTCATCAACATCTGCTCTTCTAACATTAGTTCCAAACCTCATGCCTTGAAACATCCAGTTCCTTTAAAGATATAGAGGCAAGTTGTGGTTACGAATGGGCAAATAAAATTCAAATAAACTTGAGTTCAATCAAGATTTACGACATGGTGACTAACACTGATACATTTCAACATGTCTATGCAAATTGTGCATGTTTAATTCAAGTTGTCATAAGAACAGACAGAAACCCCCCGCTTCATATAGCTTCATTATCTCTATTGATCATTTGGAGGCAAACTTTATTGCCAGAAGTTATATGTTTTTCATCCCTGTTTACTGTGACCCCCCATAAACAAAAATATATTCAGGCTGCTGGTGTAAAAAGCTGTAGCAGCGGGGTAACATCGCCAAGATGTGATAAACATGAGCTCACACAGGCAATTTTCCATTCCTTCAGCTCCCAATACAACCAGTTTCCCTGGAGGTAATATCAAACAGATAGTTAGTTCAGCAAGGAAAACAAGCCATCAAGTCAGCAGTACTATCCAATTATACTGGCAGAAGAAGCCCAAGTCCGGTGTGCTTCAACTAAAATTAACAGCTTCAGTTAAAAGAATCACAGAGTGAAGAGGAATATAATAAGACTGTGGAAACCTGCTAAACAATCTGAAATAAGCACTGTAATTATTTGTTTTATAACAGAATGATTAACAAAGACATGATAAGGCTAGACTATGACCAAATGAAATAACAATTTCCAAAAATTTAGCATTTCTTTTTCTAATATTTTGTACAGATACTAACCTGACCAAGCGAAGAGAGTCTTTTCGAATATTAACCAAACTGCGTAAGGTCTTCACAGGCTCATGAGCAGCTGGCGTCACATATGGAAACTGAGATTGATGAAAGGTCATATCAATACATGAGTCCAGTAGTTCAAACCAAATATATGAAATTCAAAACAATAAAGAACAAGATATTTCTCAGATCGAGGGAAACATCCAGTGTTGTTCCCTGGAGTTAGAAGGATGACCACTGACAGTTCCGTGCAAAACACTGTAGTGACTTGGACTTGGGCACACAAGACATAACTGCAAAGTAAGCAGGTCACACAAAACTCAAAAGTGTGAAAACAGTAAGAAATGCTCACTAAGTACACCCTTGCCTTGGTAAGGGGACTACAAATTTACAGCACCTAGGTGTATCAGTACAACTTCATTCCGACTCCTTTACATTTAGACTCTTGTCCCTTCGTCGTAAATGCTTATTTGCTTTCTATACAGGCTACTAGAAAAGTACCATTGAGAGGGGCTTAAGTTCAATCAGGATTGAAGAGGCTGGGATGGTATTTCTAAAAGCAGAGAAGGTTAATGGAGGATTCAATAGCTGCACCCGGAATTTAAGGGGCCCAATACAGTAGAGTAAATAGAGAGAAACTGTGTCCAGTGGTAGAAAAAAAATCAAGAAACAGAGCACACCAAACATGCTAACTGCAAAAGAACCAGAGGTGAAAGAAGACTTTTTTTAAAAACTTAAATTATGATCTTCTGAAATGCATGGTCTAAAAAGATGGTAAAAGCAGACACAAATGATAACATTCAAAAGTAAGCTGAATAAATTGAACAGAAAATGCTGAATTATCATGTGCAAGAAGCAAGTAAGTGTGACTAATTGGATTGCTCTTTCAAAGAGTCAACATACACATGAATAGCCTTCTTCCGTGCTGTATAATTCTACAACTGTGTAAAACTAACATTATAAATCATTTGTTGAAAAGCATGAGATAGCATGATGATAGTAAATAAAATCCCATCTTCAAATGCTCAGAGCTAAAAATTTGTTCTAAACTAGAGAAATTTTTATTTGTTACTCATCCCTAAATGGTGATAGTCAACAGTTTTCTTGAACTGCTGCAGTCCATCTAGTGTAGGTGTACTCAAAACGCTACTAGGAAGGGATCTCCAGCATTTTCACACAGTGACAGTCAAGGAATGGCAATGCTGTTCCAAGTCAGGACGGTGGGTGGTTTGGAGGGGAAATTGTAGGCAATGGTGTTCCCAGGCAACTGCTGTCCTTGTCCTTCTGGATGGTAGAGATCGTAGGCATGGATGCTGTTGCCCAAGGGGGCTCAGAGAGTTGGTGAAATGCACTTTTCAAGTGGAACCCTTCCAGCAATGTTCTAGGACTACAATAGCTGGCCTCCAATAAATACAACCAGTGGAGAGTTCTCCCAAAGTCCCATTGACTCCAGTTTGTCAAAGGCTCCTCGATGCCACAATGTCAATGCTGTCCTGATATCAGGGGCAGTCATTCTCACATCACTTGTTAAGTTCAACTCTTTTGCCCTTTTTGGGCCAAGACTTTAAGCAGGTCAAGAACGGAGTGATCTTGGTGGAACCCAAATTAAGTATGAGTCAGCAGGTCATCAGTATTTGAGGGCCACTTACTGCTGACAACCCATTCTATCACTTTATTGATAATCAAAAGTAGGCACATAGGACTCTAAGTGATTGAATTGGACTCTTCCTGCTTTAGGTGACAAAGCACACCTGGGTAGCCTTCCACATTGCCAATCGGATAACAGTATTGTTCTACAGGAACAGCTCGATCGGGGAACAATCAGTTCTACAGCACAAGTCTTCACTGCCACAAAGCTGTCAGCCTCCATAGCCATTTCTAGACGTTTACAAGCATGTCACAGTCTAATCAATTTAATTCTAGCAAAGGTTATTTATAAAATATACCATAAGATTCAGACAAGGGATTTTGTTGTATTTTACTAAACAAAAAAAGAGAATTACTGGGCAATTCTATCATATTCTCATGCCTTCCTAGGAATGGTGGAACTGTGAATGCATATGGTACCATGAAGTGCAGCAGACTCATTCATATTCAGTGCTTAGCTAGCATTCAGCAGTTTTCTTGTTGTAGCTGGGGCAAGAAAGAGAATTCTCAGTTTGAGTCTTGGCATGAAAAGTACATGTAACTATCTCCAGTGTAATAAATTGACAATGGCGTATTTAGCGCAAACTACAAGTTGAAAACGAGAAGGATTTTACTGTGCCACTGTTCTGGCCAAGTCTGAAGTACTATGTTGATAATTTTAAAATCATATTGAAGTAATTCTGAAATACCACATTAACGTAAACCTTGTTTTTTATATAGCATCTCACATAACTTCAAAAATGCTTCACAGCCAAACATTAAAGAATTTTAGGCATTGTTGTTAAAAGAAAATGAAGTATTCAACTTAGGTAAAGAATGGTCTCACAAAGAACATTTGGCCTGTCTTAGTGTTGTTGCTTGAGGGATAAACATTGCTAAGAACTTCCATGCTCTTCTCCAAAATAATGTGATGGATTTTATGTATCCAACGGAGAGGGCAGGTGGGTCTTGGTTAACATCTCCTGTGAAGATGATAGGACCTCCAACACATGACTCCATCAGTACTACAATGGCAGTAACAGCTTAGACCTTTTGCTCAAGTCTCTGGACTGGATCTTGAACTTATAACCAACCAACTCAGATGTGAAAGCCTGACCAATAAAGCCATGGATGACACCATAACAACTTCAGTTTCTCCCTCTGCCTAACTTCACACGAAGAGTAAGAATACACAAGGCAGTGCTGACTCCACCTATTCCATTACCTCAGATGAAAAACATTAAGAGAGCTCACAAAAGTAAGCTACACAAATTAAACAGAAACAAATACAACTATTAATTTGCACTGACTTTAGTTCACCTATGATAAAACCTCTAGAATTGGCAAAAAGAACCAGGATGAAGAGCAGGAAGGAAACCATTTGAGATACCACTCCTGATTGCGATCCAATGACTCCTAGTGGAAAAAAGTGCTAGTGTACAGATATCAAGGAAGGTCTACAGCAATACCCCTAGAGGTCAATAGCTCATCAACACTCACCATCTAGGTTTAGATTTGAATAAAAGTCAAGTAGGTGAAGCTAAGTGTGTAGCTGGTAATAGTAATACTGTGCCCCAACATGAATCAGCAATGCAAGAACTTGTATCTTTTGTAAGATACAAGAACTTCATAAATTCACATTAATTCCCAACAGAAAGATGCCAAATCATCCAAATTTTATTAATTACCAATGAACAGGTAGGAAAATATTCTATACAAAAAGAATGGTGCTACAAAATGTATGCAAAGTAACTGCTAGTACTGCCTTCATTTCTGAAGTGAAGTTAATTTTCTAACGTTTTTCCACGATTATTCAGTATAAACTCTTGAAATCCAGTAGTAAATATGAAAAAAGGTCCTGCAGATATTTCTGAAATTCTGTTGTCATCTAAAGAAAGAATGGATGGCTCATTCATCATGTCAGCTATTTACACTGAGTTTGCCAACACTTCCTGTTGTAGTTGGCAATAAACATTGAACACACAGGCAATGACTACTCAACTTATGAAGTGTTATGATCCCCGTAGAGACTGATAACTTTTTTGAAAAAAAGAATTTCCTAGTGACAGAAGCAAAGGGCTGCATAACAAGATTTTACGTTTTAACACTTTTACTGCAACAGAAATTCAAATCAACATTAGCCAAAAACTGAGTAGGCAATACACTAAACTGCAGAAAACTGCTTAACATAAGTAAAAATGTCACAACATATTTATATATCATGCAGAATGCATTAACTCTCAGAAGAAATGTGGTCTTGTGTTTAAAAGTCTGAAATTCCTCCTGGCTTTACAAGGATATTTTCTTCCTGACCAACCACCCCACCTCAAAAAGTGAATCTTCATGATTAGTCCCCATGCAGCTTTAGTACCAGGTCACATAGGTTTTTCTCCGCAGATTTTGAAGGATTTACCTTCCTCTTCTCCAAACTATTCCATTTTATTCTGAATTAAAGGAGACAGTTTAAAATATAATCATCTAAATCCAATGTTTGTAATAACTTTCTGAAAGTAGAGGAATCGTTGGCTGCAACACTAAGTAAATGCACTGACACTGGGAACAAAGGAAGGAAAGAAATGTAACAGCTGTCTAACTCAGCAGACCCTGCTTACCTCTGCACAGAAAGTGAGTTCAGTTTTGCTGATATACATTTGTGCAAAGCTATCCCTAAAGGTACAGGCCTCATCCTAATAAGTTACTGTAAACTAATTTATAAAACAGTTTCTACCACATGCAATTATTCACCTTCAGTTACAAGATTAACACTCACCATCAGGCACTGCCATTTCTCATTTGGTGCTGCACAACACTCTCCGCAACATGTGGGACCTCATCAGGTTCAAAAGATGCCTTTCCATCTTCGAGAGCATCTTTCCATTCTAGTCCCAATTATAAGCCACTCCTGTCAAAAATCAACCATTTTCCTCAGCTTCATCAATGCCCTTGGCAATAGTTCAGGCTAATCTGAATGGTGAGTAAATTTGACAACTGCTCAATCCCATGTTCTAAACTACACAAAAAGCTTCTCCAAACATAAGCCGTCTTCATTTCTACCTCACTCGCTGATGTTACTGCTTTGTCACTGGACACTTGATGAAGGTTTAGCAAAGTCTGAACTTAAATTGTAATTCTGCCCAAAAAAATCTAACTCTTGACACTAGTTTCATATTTCTGTGCTTAATGTTCATCAGGTCTCCTTCAACATACCAGTCTCAAAACCTCTCTCACTATTCACAAGTTCTTGCTCGGCCTCATCCTTACATAACTTTATAAATTCTTCTAATCTCTTGTTTCTCATGTATCCATTATTCCTTCAGTCTGGCTTTGTTCTCATTATTTTCTGTTCTACCTTCAGCCATCTGAGTCTGGAGTTTTCTTGGCACCATTCAAGTACTCTCCTGAAAACTTTCCACCTTGACAGTGCTATTGCTCCATCCAGAGCCTTCTCAAACTCTCTTTTCAATTATGCCTTCTCCCACTATTTTGCAGTTTTTGTTTTTATTTGCATCTGAGCATCTTGAGGTATTTTGTTAGAGTAACAGGTATTATACAAATGCAAACTTTTGTTGTTGGCTACGAGTCTACCCATATTAGCATTTGGAACAGAACTAGGATGTAGCAGGGGGAGAGATAGTAGGAACTGCAGATGCTGGAGAATCTGAGATAACGGATTAACTTTACAGAGCGGGATAACAGGTATAAAAGTACATTTACACAACAATGCTCTCTTGAGAGTGGTGACCCACTAAGTACACGTTTCACACTGTTAAACTGACATCAGTTAAATGGCTGCAATTGAGTATATATTACCTGTACAGGGCGGTTTCCCAAGAAATTCAAGTCCATATTTTCACCAAACAGGTATCCCTCAGGATGTGGCGTATCAAACTTCTCACCACCCATGAAGAAATGACTTGCAAAGTAATTTCCTGGAATATGAGATAGTAAACTAGTTATAAACATCTCTGTAAATACAATTCTTTCAAGATCAAAAAGTGCAGATAGCTAGTATTTAAGAATAATTCAGAAAAGATTGCATTTGAACATGACATTACTGTATAAATTGACAGACTGACTCAAAACCCACAAGATTGGCAGCCGTGGAAACAAAGATTAAATGATTCTGCAAACCACATTGGAGCACATCCAAAACATTTTATATGCAACTTCAGGTGCCTCACTTTGACACATAAAAAGTACTTTTTATAAAAAGTTATCCTTTTTTCCTGGGGCTGAAGCCAAAGAACAGTCTAATGTGTGAACCAACCCTTCACTAATGGCAATTAAACAAGTGTGAACTTGGTCCATTTATCTGTTACAATTATATTTTATGGTCCTAACAGCATAGACAAATTTCAATGGCCAAAATGTGGTTAACTTAACTGCCCTCTGAAATGACCCAGCAAGCCATTCATTTCAAGAGCATTAGAGATGGGCAAGAAATACTGGCTTTGACCGTAACACCTACCATCAGCAGCAGCAATCACTCACTAATATCAATGGTCATCTACTTAGGAATTTCAGTGTCATGGGTTCTTTGGGTCCTTGCGCGGCTAATGAGCTTGATCCTACAGCCACATCTCCGACCACACTTTCAGCAGGTATTTCTGGGAAATGCATGTGGTTCTTAGCCTTGAGATCAGTGCAGTGACATTATATCTTACAAATAAATAAAGAACCTCTTCCTCACTTGTAGCTTCAAGTTTTCTTCCATTCTCGTTAATTATAAAACCCTAATTTACAAAATGTACTACACAAAACACTTCCTCACTGTTATAATGTTCAACATAATGTCCCAGGAAAAAAAATTAGATCCTAAATAGCCTGTTCCACATCTGTATAAATCATACAATCACATAGAACAGAAGAGGCCCTTCAGCCCATCAAGTTACAGCAACACTAAACTACTCTAAATCTACACTAGTCCCACTTTCCAGCAGTTGACCTATAGCTTGGGAAGTTATGACATTTCAAGCCTGGGGATTAGTTTAGATTGGGAGGATGATTGGTATGGACTGGTTGGACCAAAGGGTTTGTTTCCGCGCTGTATGACTCAAATATTTTTCAAAGGATGACAGGCAGTGCATTCCAGATTCCCATCACCCTCTGAATGAAAAATGTTTTCCTCAAATCTCCTCTAAGCATCCGACATTTCACCTTAAAACTATGCCTCCTTGTTACTGACCCTTCAACTGAAGGGAACAGCTGCTTTCCATCTACCCGGTCCATGCCCTCAATCTAATAAATCTCAATAAGACCCTCTCTCAAACTTCTCTGCTCCAAATGCACAGACGTTTTTTAAAGACATAAAAACAACCAGAATTAAGACACAGTAAGAATTGTGTTATCTGGCAACCTACTAACTGGAATGTCTGATATCTTATCCTTAGAACATAAAATACTGACATTGTCCATCTGAAGTGTTTGCAAAGAATGGACTTAAGGTTAAAGTATTTTTCCCTTGGTATTTACAATGGGAAAAAAAATCAAAAGTAAAGACTACACCTCTGCAAGTTATTGCATATATCAAAGCATGTTTTTGTTCTATTTCTAAGGTAATCATGAATAACAATGAGTTAACTGGGCACAAACACTTTCCCAGTGAGCCAGACAATACAAATTTTACCAAAAGAAATTCAGTTTCAGTGGCTTGCTTTGCTTCCTTGAACACTGGCACCCCTTTCGGCAAAACGTTAGCACCCAGATATCTGTACGTTTCACTACATATCAAGAATCCTATACAATCAACCATCTCCCCATATTTAGAGGCCCAATATATCTTCACGTATGTCAACAAAATGCCAACATGCAACAATCAATCTCCAAAGTTATCAATATCAAGCCACAATTGACAGTTTTAGCAGCATTTTAATTATGGAATGGTTAAGAAAAAATTGATATTTAAGATCCTTAGGGTATTGATATAATTTTCAAACCATATTTCTTTAAGTGAAATGTCAGAAGTTGCTATGCAACTCTTTATGCACCAAATAGGAGGCAGGAAGAGGCTGATGTATTATAGCATTATCTGGTTGAGTCACCACCAGATTTCATGAGCATTGTTCCAAATATGTATCATAAACTATTAAAAATAGGAGCAGAACTACATGTGTTTCTATGCCAAGTATATTTGTTTTAAAAATTTATTGGTACTATTATTAATTCAGATTGCATAACTGGCCAGTAATTGCAGGAGAAGTTCAAAGTGGATAAAAAAATTGATCTGTCAGATTCCTGCACAATACTGATCTACTAATGGCAATAATGAAGTAATTGGCATCAGTGAACAGTACAACTATTCATATTCTACTTCTTCCTATTTTTCCTTTTAAACACAAAGTCCTTGCACTTCCAAAGTTATAACAAATCCCTGAAAATGGATGGGGAGTTTTGTATTCTTTATTTAACTCATCACTAATAATATGTAATGACTTAACTCACCTGATTAGATCAAGTAAATCAAAATTTTTTGCAGTGTTTTCCCATGGCAAAACTTCTAGATACTAAACAAATTTAAATCTAAGGATTAAAAGGGGTACCAAAAGGCTACAAAGTTAACTTAACAGAATCCTGACAGTGTGGAAACAGGCCATTTGGTCCATCAAGTTTACACCAACCCTCCAAACAGCATCCCACCCAGACCCACCTCTCTACTCTATTCCTGTAGGCCTGCATTTCCCATGGTCAATCCATCTAACCTACACATCTTTGGACTGTGGGAGCACCTGGAGGAAACCCATGCATGCACAGGCAGAATGTGCAAACTCTGCACAGACAGCCACCTGAGAATGGAATCAAACCTGGGTCGCTGGCTCTATGAGGCAACAGTGCTAACCAATGAATCACCACGCTGCCACAGATTGGAGATTGGCTAAAGGACAGAAGACTGAGAGAATGAATAAAGAGGAAATTTTCAGGATCGGCAGGCTGTGACAAGTGGATTGCTCCAAGGATCTGCACAGGGACCTCAGCTATTTACAACCAGGCCATAATATAAATGACTCAGAACTGTATAAATTGGGGCAGCGACGATGGTGTAATGGTACCGTCATGGGACAAGTAATCCAGAGTCCCAGGCTACTTCTCTGAGGGCATGGGTTCAAATCCCACCACAGCAGCTGATGCTGCCCGTTACAGGAGAAATAATTCAAGGTTTGGGATTGAACTGAAGTTCAAACAGAGCATGTTAACCAAATACATCATAGGAATACAGTTTCTCCTGGATTGTCGAGCTCTACAGAGAGGAATGAAAAAAGTTAAAAAGAAACATCTGAAAGGCAACAGAGCTGGAATGCATAATAATTGCTATGGACAGCAATGTACAATTTCAACACCGGCCTTCACTGCTAGGAATTTGGAAGAAGAAGCTTTCACACGTACACTGTGATATACGCCAATCTTTGATCAATTAAATATTTAATAAATCCAAACAGCTGACTGCACACTTAGCTCTTGTCAATCACTGAATCGTAGAACAACAGCCAGAACTGCCTTCAATTTTTTTTTAAAAAGTTACATTTTGGGCTTTTTTCACCTTGGCTGCTCTTTTATATCGGGTAGAGTTCCGCATGTTAGACCAACTCTGCCAAACGGCTTTACTACCAATACAACATTCAACAAACATGTGCCATGTCCATTACATTCTGCAAGTTGTCACTGCAGCATGCAAAGCTATTGAAGTAACAAGTGTCAGCACTGTGTCTAAAAGCAACATAAAGTTACGGTTTTAAGTAACAGTCCTGTCCCAAACTTTGCTCAGTGGAGGTGGGTAAATACCACAAAATTATTTCTCATGTAATACACAATGTAGTCATTTGGTATCAATTTAATCCCTAGATTTAAATATCTTTAGTATTTAGAAGTTTTGCTAAGGGAAAACTCCACAATAATTTATTTAACCAATCAAGCCAGTTCAGTTGCCATTTATTACAGAATTATCATTCACTATTGTTATTTAAAAACACAAAATAGCATTCTTGTCTTGGAAAATGACTGGCAATTTGGGGAAGTTCTAATAACACTGGGAATTGATTGTAAACACTTTACACATTACTGCACAGATTTCAAAGCATCTGCCAAAAACAAACAACAGCTGCGACATTTTTGCAGACTGAAGCAAAACTCCTCACAAAGGTCACTTAAAATGCCAGCAGCTTTTAAACTAATATTTTCCACCATTACAGTAAGAAGATACAGGGGTGGTGCTAGAGGTCTACAGAATTACAAGTGCTCATGACAGTGTGCAAGGACAAACCTACAGTCTTGTCCATTTCAGCTGGGTAGAGTCAAAGCTTTTCAAGACAATAAACCAGGACAAACTTAAATTGGACAAATGTGGATTCATTAAGGGAAACCAGCATAGCACGAATCTGTTAAAAGCAATCTGTGCTTAACTAATTTGCTGAAGGTTTTCACGGAGGTAACAGAAAGGGTTGATGAGAAGAATGCAGTTGACTTGTGTACGTGAGTGCCCAAAAGAGGTTTGATAAAGTGCGACAAAATAAGCTGCCGGCATGGTTGAAAACCAATTGAATAAAAGGAATACTGGCAGAAGAGAAAGAACTAGGGTGCACTATTTTAAAATAAGCAATCTCTCTTTTATTTTATTTTCTCTTAGAAGGTTGTTAGGCTGTGGAATTCTCTTCCCAGAAAGCAGTGGAAGCTGATCATAGAATCTATTCAACAAGGCGTTAGATAGATTTTTGATAGTCAAGGGAGTTAAGGGTTGTTGGGGTAGGAGATGGAGGGAAAGAAAGGAGGCAAGACCTACAGACAGGAATGCAGAATTAAGGCCACAACTAGATCAGCCATGATCTTGCTGAACAGCAGTGCAGGTTTGAAGGGCCAAATGGCCTACCTAAGCTATGCATTCTTCAGGAGAAAACTGGCAGTGTTACAGGAAATATTGAGTAACACCGAAGACTCGTTC